CAACAACTAGATGAAATTCTATTCAATATGATTATTCTCCTATTCAACACTCAGATCAAAAAGAAGTTTCGAGTATTTCTTTCGCATGCTATCTTCTTCTTAGTCGTCATGTCTGTCATTTACATACAATTATTAACAAAAGAAAAGAAACTAGATCTAATGTTCGTGATTCTTGTATTTCTTAAAAAAATATCATTATTATCATTATTGTTATTAATAGATTGGGTAAACATTGCACATTAATTTTTGTCTTCTTTTTGTATATATAAGTATAAAAGTATTATAGTACTCCGGATGTTTTTTTTCTCAAAAATGGGTTATAAAGTCTTCTAAAACCTTTATTTTCGAAATGTTTCACACGAACATGCTGATTTTATGGTATCAACTAATTATTTTGAATCCTGGAAAAACATATATTTCACATGAATATATTGTAAGAAGTCTGACTATATAAATTGATACATCCTCGTAAAAGTACCATTATATAATATCTAAAAAGTTGTACTGTATTCCATCATTTTTCTTTTAAGAAAAAAGAATATCATTAAACTAATTTTGACTCGTGATTATTATGATGCTAGAGAATTTTAAAATTTTTTATTATAGTATTAAAAGAAGATTCTCAATCATAATCAAACGCATTAGATAGTTCGAACAAGTGTAAAAGATCATCTGACAATGGATCGTTTTGATAAATTAAAATGTTTGAAAATATTCATTTATTTCTGAATAAGTTTAAATTAAATTTTTTTAATAGGCTACTCATCTGTACACTTATAGCTCAAATTATTTCTTCTTTAAGAAAAGAAATAATAAAATAGTTCTTTTTTCCTTTTTAGAATATTTTAGAAAAGCTTTTTAGTCATTATAATAAATGCTTATATTATTCAATTACTGCAATATGTTTAATTGAAACAATCAGAAAACAAAGTTTATCGAAGACATCATAGTCTATCTTTCAAAGAAAAAAAAAAACGATTCGCTATTCTTCAATTCTGCTTCTTCAATAAGATAAAGAAGAAACAAAAATTGCAAAATTTGTATACCACTCGTTATCTAAGTGTTTTAGAAAAGGAAAAAGGAAGAAGAAAAAGAGAAAAAATGCAATAGGAGGAATTGTCCTCGAGTTCCTTCAAAAGAAATAGCCTTATTAGGACAATGAGGAAAAAAACGCTTGTTGCATTCTCTTTTTCTGTTTCCTTTTATTATTACTATTTATATTCTACTCTAACTAGCTCTTCTCTTTTTTTTACATGAAAGAAGAAAAGGTTTGTTAGACATTTACGACTACTATTACTACTCCATTTTTTGATCCAATATATATATATATATATGAAAAATTGATTAACAAAGTGCACAGGAAAAAAAACGATAAAGGTATTCCGTTTTTCTATTATATTGATTTACACTATTAACCACTAGCATTATTTTCATAATTAAAGTAAAATAAAACGGCAATTACTACAAAAGTCTCGTGAACATAGTTTTCTATTAAATCGATTATTATTTATTTCAAATTTATAGATCATTTCATATGTCTGCCCTACAAGGTAACAATAATACTGGCAATCAATTTTCAACAAACCGTGAAAATGTTCCAAGTCGACGCATATCAGACAATTTTTCTTCATCTCGATCTTACGCACCTGAGTGTAAGTTTTACATATTATTGTTTTTTCTTTTTCATCTCGAAAGAACAGAAAAAAAAATCTTCGAAGGTTAATTCTTAATGACATTTATTTAACAGTGAATAAAAATTCGGAAGCTTTCACAATAGATAAATATACACAAATCTTGAAGCTCATTTATTTTGACAATATATGAGAACTTTTTTTTTTAATATTGAATAAAATTATTTTACATGATCGAAATAAAATACTTTTCCTTTCTTTTTATCATTTGATACTAATATATTATAAATATTTAAGATCATGCACAAAATGTATATGCTACTCAACGACGTATATGTGAACAATTACGCGAAGAAGCAAGACGTGAACGTACAAAAGTATCAATTGTTTGTAAAGATCTTGTTCGTTATATTACTGATCATCAATCAAGTGATGCACTTGTTACGGGTTTTCAATCACCTAAAGATAATCCATTTCGTGATAAACAACAATGTTCATTACTTTAAATTCGCGCTATTTAAATATCATTTACAACAAATGAATTCAACAACAACAAAACGTTTACGTTATTCATTAATATCAAATCATCATCAATATTCATCATCTCATTCAATTCATCCAATAATAATTAAATCACAATCAACTATATTAGCTGAAAAATATTTATTTTTATTACAAATTATTAAAGATATGCGTTATGATATTCGACGATCATATGCCGGAAGTCGAACAAGTATGGAAAATTTAAGAAAAAGAATTATTAAAGCAAGAACAATTGTTCTTCAATGTAAAGATTTATGTACAAGACGAGAATATGATCATTGTCAAATAATTAAACAATATCAATAAAACATCATTACCTATTGAATATCAAAATAAAGAATAATAATTCATCTATAAACGTGTTTATATTGTAAAAAAAAATAATAATTTTTCTTTTCTCATCACTTTATTTTTTGTTTGAAAAATAAAGTTGAAAGTTAGTTTGTCTAGGACAATAAAATAAATGTTTGATCAATCAAAATTGATTAAATAAAACATTTTTGAATTGATTTATTCGTATTAATAATGATATTATGGAAAATGAATACAGAAATGACTCTCTGAAAACATATGTGAAGATGTATTCAATTCACTGTATTACAAAAAACAATCAATCACTACTTAAAGCTCGTTGAGTTAGTTGCGAACTTGATGAGCCTCGAGCCAAAAAATTTTCTATTGTGATCGAATCCGGAATTGACTTAATGGGTTGTACTATAAAAGTACCAGTCAATTAGGACTTGATTGTTATAAAGTCATTGTCAAAATTGCCTAAAAAATGTTTAGGATATGCTCGTTGCAAAATCTAAATAATCAATAAATAGTATTGTGCATCTTCAGAGCAACAATCAGATCCAAGTCGAAAAATATTCATTGAAATTAGGCGTATGATTCGGGTCTAAAAATTTTGAACTCGGTGAACTCTATCATTACTACTCTTTTTATCGAAGAAAAGCAAACTGATTTTTTTATATGAACACTTCAGTAGTATTACAACGTTGTAGGCAAGATTGAGTCAGCTAATAAATTGATATGAATTAAATGTCAGTTTGAATTATGATCAAATGAGAATTTTCAATATTTGCAGACAACTTGAATCGTACGCAAAAGAGAAAAAAATAGATGTGAATAGAGTCAATAGAATAGAATGTATTTTATTCTTAATTAAGCTTTTTCCTCTCGTAAAACAAAGTCAATTTTCGTCAAAAAAATTAAAATTGAGAAAGATAGTTCAAGGTCTAATCTTTCATAAACGACATCATTTTCTATTTAGTACCTCATTTTGTTGATGATTTCCGTTACTTTCTGCTTGAAAAATATGTTTTTTTGTCAGAAAAAGCGGGAGGTCTTTTTCTCTGTTTATGCTTTTTTGATCACGCATCTCAGAATTGTCGAAAGAGTTTCATTCTAGCTCATTGCTTTGTTTTTTGTTACAAAAATAATGAAAAGTTGTAATGCCCATTGCTTGAATTAAGCTTTTATATTGTTATATAAAAAATCACTTCTATAAATAAAGGACTATTTTTCGATATATTAAACTTGTAATCCATTTAAATCAATAGACTATGAGTTCACAGAGAATTTTTGAGTTGTTATATAAGCTATTTTTGATCTTTGCTTGTGGAATATCTTCTAAAAGCCTCATCATACAGGACTGAAAATTTTATGCAATTTATGTTAAAAATTGTTTTACTCGATTAAATTTTTTTGAATAAGAATTATTAAGAGAAAAAAATAATAATATCATAATATGAAATTCTAGATTTATTAATTATCAATAGATAAATATTTTGTATAATATTGAAGAATTTTTTTCATTTATTATCTTTCAAAACCTATTGTTAATTTTTCAGATGAATACAAAAGAAAACAATATACTGTATAGAAATTTTTTTATTAACCATAATTGCTGTGAACGATTTGCCGCTTAAATAAATAGAGAAAACATTAAATTCAATGAAAAAAAAAAATTACTCCGCTCGATATTTAATCAAAATCGTTTCTGATTATCTTTAATTAGAATATAATATTAATTGAAAGAAAAATATCTAACAAATCAGATTAATAAATTGAATTATGTGATTAATCATAACTTATAGTTCAATATCGACTAATATTCAAAATCGAGATTAGTATGAACTTATAAAGAAATATTTCAACTATCTAATAATAGAATACTATTCACAAAATGATTTGAACTAGATAATAAAAAAAATTTTTTGATTTATTATGCTAATTATCGATGATATCACCAAATCACTCCATGCGAACTGATTTAACGCAGCTTATCGTAATTTTCACTAGTATGTTTGTCGAAACTTTAGAACTTCAAATACAATTCAATAGAGATTTTTTCAAAAAATACAAAATGTACAACTTTTTATTTAATCACCACTTCTTATTCTATTAGTATCACACCTTTTTCTTACAATAATAGCGTTGAATATCGAAAATAAACCAATAACATATCATTTATTGAAACTTCTTTTATTTTTAAACATTTATTTATAGTACTTTAATAAGATTCCAAATTTCATAAAGCAATGAATGAGATAAGATACCGCATTTTATCCAGACAATATCATATAAAAGTGTTTTATATTTTCTTTACGAACATCAAAAACGATTTAACCTACGTATCTGACTGTCACAAGCTATGTTAGTAGAAACAATCACCTAATATATCATATAAAAGAAACATCAAAGCAACTAAATCATCAAAATCAATCATGGAGAACGGACAAAACATATTAATAAATACCTTTCCTTTATTGGTACATATTTATTTACTCCTTTCATAGTTATATCAAGAAAAAAGCCAATCGAATGTTTAGATTTATAGTGTTACTATTATTAACCACATTTATTTTTCCATCCAATGGTCAAAGTCGATCCATTATTAATCAAGAATCATCTTTATGTACTAAGAAAAGTCATACAATACCATTATTCACTACTCTAATTTTACGTATGACATTCAATCAAACTCGACTTAAACAATTAAATATTCAAACGATGAGTATATATGCTTCAATTAGTGATCGAAAAATAGCAGAATTTCAAAATCATCGTGATACAATTGAAGAAGTTTTTCATTTAATGAAAAATATCGAAAGTAAATAATAACTAAAATTATATCATTTTAAATTTTATACGAATATTCATATATTCGAAAGTTTTACATGCATTTCAATTGTTCTATTTTCCTTAACAATAATAAATAAGTAAACAATATACAATACAATAGTACTGACAAAGAAGGTTGAACCTTCTATTTCTTTATAGGCAAAATTTTGGAAAAAAAACCTGTTTTCTCCTGTTTCAAACTGCCTATGACATATGTTTATTAGATAGTGACAAGTAAATCGGCATGACCAAAAAAAACAGAGACATTCTAAAAATAATTTAGCATTGTTGATTCAATTCAAAATAATGACATAAAATGTCAATGTGCCTTCTTTAGATATATATTAAAAGTCACGCATTCATCATGACAGCAGTGTGAGAAATACTAGCACACGAGGTTTTCAATTCTTTTTATTGATTTATCAGAGAAATCTTGTCGAATAGTAGTTAACTTTTTTCATAAAAAGAAATAATGACTTCAGAAAAAGCGATGTATATTATACTGGTCAAGTATCTTCACAAAATGTACAAACAAAATTTTCAAAAAAAATGGCAATCAATAAAAATTTCTTTTTGAAAATTAAACAATCTATGGAATTCGTTAGTGGTAGAGCCAGGGTATGGCTGAAGATGGATCAACCTCCTTCAAAAATGTGACGTTCCTATATTGTAGGAGAAGAATATATCCCCTTTTCAGCTTCAAACGAGGGTTAACATGAGGCCTACAAATTTTTTCTGGTTCAACCACTAGTTAGTAGTTTCTTGAAACAGAGACGAACTGAAATATTTCTAAACCAAAATGAACCGACTCCGATCAAAACTAATAGACAAATGTATTAGAGTATCAGATTTAGATGAGATCGGTCGAAGGACATCAGTAGAGATCAGAATAAGTTGTAAATGTTTAAAAATGAATGTTAAAAGTAAATATATTGTTGCTTCCGGTGTATTTATTTTTTGGATAGAAAAAACTTAAATACTGTTTTACAAGACTTCTTTGATGAATCAATGAAAAAAATAGAAAATTTCTTATACAAGTATTTCTCACGTTGCTTTAATCATGAATGCGTAACGAATATAAATTACATACTGCCCGAAAAAGGGAAAAATTTTGCTATTATCTAATTAAAAAAATGAATATACTAAGAAGTGTTTACAGAAGTTACATTGACATTTTATGTCATTATTTTTGAATTGAATGTAAAGTGTTGAGAATGATAAATATAAATTTTCTTTCGAGAACATTATCTATAAAGAAACATAAGGTTCAATCTTGTTTGTCAGTACATTTGTATCTTATGTTATTTTATTCAATTTTGTAGAATATAATAACAAATCAATTATGACTTATAATTTAAAAATACATGCAAAATATATAGATCAAACAGATATTCATTATTTTATTGAAACTGTTAATATAAAAAATCATATTCATTCTACAAAATGTTCAGTTGTTTTAACTATATCTGAACCACAACGTTTAAGAGATAAAATATATAAAAATTTCATTCCATTTGCAATTATGTTTATATCACTTCAAATGGGTATATTACTTGATATAGATGTATTAAAAGAATTAATTTATCGACCAATACAAATTTCAATAGGTTTTGTTTGTCAACAGATTTTTATGCCATTAATAGCTTTTTCTATATCAAAAATATTTCGATATCAATTATTATATGGTCTTGGTTTATTTATTGTTGGATGTTGTCCAGGTGGATCAACATCAAATCAATGGACAGCTTTATTTGATGGTGATCTTAGTTTATCAGCCACTATGTCATTTGTATCAACAGTTGCATCATTTTTTATGTTACCATTATGGTTATATACACTTGGACAATATTTTTATCTACGTCAACTTAAAATTCATATATCATTTTTAAGTTTAATACAATCATTATTAATAATTATTGGAATAATGGGATTAGGAATGATTATTAATTATTTTGTCCCAAAATTAAAATCAATAATAGAACGTATTTTTAAACCAATGTTAATATTATTCCTATGTTATTTTTTTACTTTTGGTGTTTTTGTTAATTTTTATTTATTTTTTGATTATATTAATTTAAGAACAGTATTAACAGCACCTTTATTATCATGGTTAGGATTTTTATTAGGTAGTTTATTTGCTTGGATTTGTAAACAAGATTGGAAACAATTAAAACAAATATGTATATTAACCAATAACTATGATTATTTGTATTACTAAAAAAAAACTAATGCATTACTTGACTTTTTCAAGTTTTTTCTATTGGCAGTGTTGAGTATGAATACTTTTTGGTATTAGTCAGTAATTTTGAACGATTCATATAATAGAATTTTTTTTTTCTCCGCAAATAAGAATTCTTTTGTTTGTCTCTTTTTTTTTCTAAAATATTCAAAATATTGATATTGCACTTATGATTTTACTGTATTCATAGTCAGCACCAGAAAATAGTCAAGCAACTGTTATTCCATTAATTATTTCCTGTTTATCACCTCAACTATTCTATCTTGTTCTTATTTATTGACTCATACGTCGAAAATATTGTAAAGCGCAACTAATCGTTCGTCATATATCAATTGATCCATTCAGTGAAGCAGGAGCTGAAACATTCGATGATATATCTCTCAAACAAAAGAAGTTTCATTACCAATGACAACCTTAGATTCATCTGTCAATCCAAAAGTTACGTAAAAAAATCTAATTCCTTGAAATAATTGATATTACATCGTTCTGTTCTATGTTTTTTTTTGTATGTGTAAAAGTGAGACAATAAACAAATAGCAAAAAAAATATATTATATACCGACATGAGAAAAAACACACGCACACACACACACGCGCGCTCATTTGACGGAAAGACGTGAATGCTGTTAAATATTAATATGACAATAATTTTCAAGGCCACTCAATATCAAATAGGCAATCCAAAGTGAAATAAATATCGCACTTGATATAAGACGATATTTCCATGGACCACCTAATTCTCCTCCACCGAAAAATTTTAAACGTCTTATCAATAATATAACTATAGTAACGGCTGCAAACGAACAAAATACAGTTACACTGAATGATAATGAACCTTTTTCAACTTCAAATTTTGTTCTTTTAAAATAATGATACCATGCTGATATAGCCCATGGTAAACCAATACCTAAGAAAACATTAACAGCATTTGAACCATTAACATTTCCTATTGAACTATCCGCATATTTATCATGTTCAGCAGCAACTTTTGATGCAAATGTATCTAAATAGAAATCAAATATAGTAATTATATATTTTTTCTTTTATTATTATTTATCTCATCTACCCGGTAATGATGTTCCTAAAGCAACAAAAGCAATTGCTGTCATCGTGTCTGTAAGACCAATAGTACAACCAAACTATAAAATACTGAATTTACGAAAAAAAAAAACATAAAGTTAATCAATAATTATTTACATGTGTTGCTAAATCACCAATAACAGCAGTTAACATACCAATTATTGAAATTGATACACAAAAGCAAACCCATCCACCACCTATACCTATATTTTAGAAAAAAAAACTCATTACTATGTTTCTTTTTTTATTCATCTTTCAAACAAAAAAAAAGTTATTTTTTTACTTGTTGGTGGAACAAAAGCAAATAAAAATTTCCAAAAAAATGATATATAATGTAACATATAATCTTTACATTTTGCAGGTTTTTCATCATCGACATTTGAACCACCTGCTTCAATAACATCATCATCATCATCTACAATAATATAATTTAATCGATATATATATATATATTTAATATATATTCAATTTTTTTTTGTATGTACCTCTAACACTAAATGCTTGTTTAAATTGTTCTAACCATGTTGATGTACCAACAAGTATAGCCGTATTTGCTTTATATAATGCTTTATCAACAGCATTCTTAATATAAAAAAAACAAATTAAATATCAATAAAAAAACAAATAATTTATTTATACTTTAAATTCTTTGCTTTCACGTATTCGAATACGAATTGTATGTTTTTCACCTAATTTAGGTTTACCTAAATCAGCAATTAATCTTTCTTCTTCAGTCATACCTATCAAAATATATATAATTAATAAATACAAAAAAAAAAATAAGAATAATTATCATATACTTGAATCATTTATATCATCATCATCTTTGATTAATGATGGTTCACCTAATCGAACAAGAAATGTTTCATTACGTTGATATTGATCACGATCGAGTATTTCAATTGTTATTGTCTTTCTATAAACAAAAAAAAAAAAGAATGTTTTACATTTATCTTTTCTGATTGGAGAAATTTGTTTGTTTCTGACAAATGCAAAAAAATGAGAATATGGCATATGTAAAAGAAAACCTCGATTCATCCTCTGGCACCGGTATAATTAGTCGAACGACGTCCGAACAACACCATTTTTATTGACATAATATTTGCCAAACGTGCGAGTCAAATTCTCATTAAGTATAAAACAGAAGAGAACAAAAAAAGAAAGAGAAAGCCTTTTAGTAATATCAACCAACAAGAACTAATTTTTTTTTTTCTAGTATTTTTCTCTAATCAAAAAACAAATGAAATAGATTGACATATGCTGTGTATGACATTAAATAATACATACTCATTTTCATTATTTTCAAATATAACTTCACCCATATTTGTAATATAATCTCTTCCACTTGAAGCTGTTTCATCTTGAGTTGAATATGGTACACATACACGACCACGAGCACCAGATGTACGTAAAACTTTAACTTCAACGGAACGATCTGATTCTACAACACCTACTTCCTCATTATCAAATACAAACATTCCAGAATGATCATCATCAATAATCATAACAACAGCTGTTGATGGTTCAACTAATTTTACACTTTTATCAAATGCACCTGGTGTTAAACGTCCTTGATTATCTTTTATTTTAAGATTACTTAATTTAACTGAGAAATGTTCATCTTAAAGAGAGAAAAATTTTAAAATTTCAAAAAACAACAACAACAACAATTCAATTAACCTTCTTCAAAAATTTCATCATCAATAATTTTCACTTGAATTTGTTTATGTGTTTCCATTGGATAAAAAATTAAAGTACCTTCAGCAGTTTCATAATCAGCTCCATGTGTTGCTGTACCATCTTCTGTCATATAATCAACATAAATTGTATTTCTTAAATTTCCATCTGTACGTAAAATATGTAATGTAACATAACCAGCATTTTCTAAAACTGTATAATAATTTGGTTCAAAACGTATTTTAGTTATATGTGGTGTTGCATCACTAATTAATGGTTGTTTTTCTACTGATGTTATTTGAGTAGGTTCATTTAATTTTTCTAATAATTTTTTTTTCATATTTCCACCACCACCACCTAAACGTTTTGTTGCTTGAATACGATAATATGCTTAAAAAAAAAAGAGAAAATTTTGTTTTGTTTGTTTTTTTTTTCTTAATTATCAAAAAATTTTACCTCGAGATTTTGGTACACGATTCATCATTTCAATTGCAGCCATATCATTTAATGTTTGCATATCAGTATTTGGATATTGTTTACGTAATTCACGCCATATATCAATAAATTCTTGTCGACGTTGTGTTTCAATTTGATCTGATATTGTTGTTTCATCTAAACCACCTGTTGTACTACCTAAATGATCAAATAAACCACCTGATACAGATTTTTTCATTGAATTTGGTTTATTTCCATATAAATCATTTGAACTTGGTGTTGTTGAATTTTTTATTGTACCATCAATCATACTTTTTTGTTCACTATCATCCATATTACCTGATGTATCAACAGTTATTGGTAATGGTGTTTTTGTATGATTATCAAGTTGTAAAACTTGTTTTCTTGCAGTTATACGTATACGTATAAATTGACCAACTTTTGTATCAACAATATATGCCGAAAAAACGGTTAATGGAAAAAATAAAAATGTTAATGTTCCTTCCCATACTTCAATATAACCAGGAGAAATTTTAGCTACAATTGCCCATAACCATATATAAGCAAATATTGACCATGCTGTTGTAACAAAAAATACACGTAAATGTCTTATACGACGAATTTCACCGGTTGGTATAGACATAATACATATAGCAATAATAACAAATAAATTAAATGCTGCTGAACCAACAATTGTACCTGGACCAAGATCTCCACTTTGAAAATTTTTTCCAACAACTTCAATAATTGATAAAAGAATTTCAGGCGCTGATGAACCTAATGCCATCAATGTTAAATTTGATACTGTTTCATTCCATATGGCTACAGTTGTTATTGATATTGAACCATCAGGATTTTTTTTTCGTATTTCACGTTTTTGTGATGTTATTACTTCAATGGATGCCATAAAACGATCTGATATAACAGCAACACCAATAAATAAATAAACAAGTGCTAATAGATAAACAATAGCACGTGATATACGATCACCAATTGATATATCTTCTTGAGGACGCCATAGAGGAATAATTAGACCATCATGTGTACAATTCGTACGAATTTTTGAGCATGTCTTAGACGCAGATAATAATGGTGATGATACATTATATTGATTTAAAATTGTAGCTCCATGAATAAGACTAGTTGACGTAAATAAGATCACCAGTGGTGATAAGCGAGAAAAAGTATACATTATGAATGAGCCTCGACTACGGGAATGCACGGCTCACATCCTAAATATAAAAAAATAAATCATTAAAAATTATAATAATAATAATAATAATGATGATGATAATGATGATGATGATGATAATGAGAAAGAAATAAAAATAGCACGACTTAAAATTAGAAAAAAAGAAATCTTTCTCCTTTGCTTGTCACTTTTTATAATATATCCAAAGAGGAAATATATTTTCATCCGAAACAACGACGACAATAACATCGTCAACGGTTAGAAAAAGGAAAAAAAAGAGGAAAACGAAGTAGATATAGAGAAAAGAAAATCTAGCCGGTGACAACGGTAGTAAGGGCAACAGATCGAGAATTCAATCGCTAAACATCATAAGCACTACTACTCCACTAACACTCAATTGATTCAATTAGAGAAGCGCACACACGCAAACATATATATATATATATATGATTCTGATTAAAATACACATAGTACTTACCTCTTCTTCTTTTCCCTCTTTCTGATTTTCTGTTTCTCTCGTGCTATGCTTGTCTATTATTCATTCACTCACTTATTAATGTTCATCTGGGATTATCTTGATGCCTACGCGTTCTCTT